ATTTTAAGATTACTTATATAATTTGAAATCAAATGAGAAAAATAGTTGCAATTTAAATTTAGAAGCAAATTTAATAATAGCGAAATCATGATGATTTAAAAATTAAAAAATCCTTTTTAAATTATGAGTAAATTATTATCGATATTTCATCTTTACAATAATCACTATCACTAAATTCATCACATTTCTTAAACTCCATCAATCAAAACTTAACTTTAATGTAATCTTATAAAAAAAAATTATGTATTTTCTACTAGCAAATAACTCATCAATTATTTCATGCACTTATTTTATTAATCGAAGATACTCTATGATAACTATTAATTATGTATGTTATATTCTCCAATTCCTTGGTGATGATATGCTTTAAAAGATTTAGATCTTTCTGTTCCGTTTTCATCTAAATATAAATTAATCACTTGACTAGACGATTATTTTTTAATTAATTATTTTTTAATTAACTTTAATTTGATTATAATGATAAAATCAAATATGATATATTTAATAAATTTAAAAGTTTACACTATATCAATAAAAACCTTATAAAATTATATCAATACTTAACATACAATATTACTTCATAAAATTTTTTTTCATCAATAGAATTATTATTATATATAAAAATTACTTAAATTTCATACCTCGTTGATTTTTAATACATAATATTTTACATATTTTCAATACTCATTCTTTCCATATCAAATTGAACTCCATATTCTTCAATAACTTTAAAATGTTCATTACTTAGTATAAATAATCGCGCTAGTTCTGTACGTTTTACAATAAACTTTTTATTTCCTCCTCTTCCTTTACAACACCACCCTTCAAAAAATTTTCTTAAACTATCCGCACTAAATATTCCCATTCTAATTTCAATATTTTCAAGCGATTCTGATACATTTTTGGCCATTCGACATAATAAGTTATTAGCATCAAATTCTTCTCCTCTACAATCAAATGAAAATCTTCTTAATTCATTAAAATCATTATTAAATATTGTTATCGCTTGTTCAGGACTTAAACCATATAAAGTTAATTTGGTAATCTTTGTACAATAATTTAAAATTGCTGAAAATGTATCAAATGTAATTGTGGGATGTAAATCTAAACAAATATTTTTTAAATTTGTATTTGCCGTTTCGAGAACTTTTATAACAAATTCTTGACTATACTTATATGGATTACTCGAATGAAAATAATGAAAACTACTTAATTGAGTAAATGATGAAGCAAAGGATAAACTTTCCGATTTATGCAATCCACAATTTCTAATATAAAGTTCTTGAAGTGAAATAAATTGTCCAATTGATGATTTCCAATTAAGACCTACTGATTCTAAACGAAGACTCTTTAATGTTTCTTTTTGACTAATGATACCCCATAATAATAAATGACAATCTAAATAATTAGTAACAATTGATAGATTTTCTAAACGTTTTTGAACATTAATAAATCTTGCTAAAGGTTGCACTTGATCTTGTGAACTCAATTTCAAATCCATATTTAAAATATTATCGCAAATTAATTTTAATGGTTCACAAAGTTCATTAAAAGATCCTTCATAATATTCAAATATAAAACTTTCTAATTTCTTAAATACTTTTGGGGCACCAGGTAACTTAAAAATTGAATTAATTGAATCACTATAATTTATAGAAAATTTTTCGGGAACACTCGCCAATTCAAAATAATCCAGAAATGAGCAACGATTCATTATTAATTTGCATATCTCACGAAATATTTTTTTCGATCTGGTGGATTTCTTATAATTTGAAGTGCAATTATAACCAATAATAATTTGTTGTGAATATAAGGAAATAAAATTAACTAAATTATTAATTATAAATTTACGAGTGAACGATGGATAATTAAAAGTGGCTTGAGGTGGGGATGATGATAAATCAAGTCCAAATTGAGTAAGTAAAGTTCTAGATGAAGTATTCATACATGATAAATAAGTTCGAATACATAATGCTTTCTTCCTTAACTTCTTATCATTTGTACAATATTCTTGACCTAAAGGTAATTTCCAAAGTATAGGAATAGTAACTTTACACCAGTATCGATTAACTAATAATGATGAATGTAAATCTTGAGTTGATTGAACATTATTTAAAATCATAATCAATATTTCTGTGGAAACTTTAGTTGCCATTTTTTTTTTCGTCAAAGAGATTTAAGTTTCAAAGAAACAATAAAGAGTAAATTTTTAAAAAAAAATCGTACCACACTTTTAAATAATATATATGCAAATGTGAAATGTGTAACTACTACCCGTGTTACCAAATAAATATGCACAACATATTCACTTCACACACGGATACTATAACAGCAAACGATAAATGCTTATTATTTAATTTCCAAATTTGGTCATTGCATGAAAATCATTCGAATTTATTAATCTTTTAAACAGATAACTCTAAAGAAAAAAAATCGAAAACAACTTATCTAAAAAAAAAAATGAAAACTTAATCTGACTAATACTGTGACAGTAAGTCGGGTAGATCTTATCTTAGCCAATTTTTATTCTTTTGTTAAAAAAAAATTAAACAAAATTCTTTAAGAAATTTCTGAAAACGGAATTAATTTGTGAAAGTAAAAAATAAGCAATTTTTTTTTTTTGATTATCATGTCATATCGATATTTTATAATATTATTTTTATTATCCTCGATAATGGATAATAATCATACTTTGATTTCATTCAACAACAACAACAATCCTCTCTCATACATATTTCACAAACTTAATTGATTTCTTTCGAACATATGGTGAAGCATAATAATCTAATAATTGTATTTAATAGTGTCTTTTTTGATTTATTTAAAAACGAAATAAATAATGACTGTTATTACACTTAAAATTATTTTTAATATTTCATTACTAAATTAAATAGCTTTAAGTAATAAATATAGTACACTTAATGTAGAAGTTTCTGACCTTTGAATATAAATTGAGAGAATGATACTCAATAAAAGATTCAATCTTTAAGCAGTAGGTCACTTAATCACTTATGATCATTTTTTGATGTTTCAAGAAAAAAATAAGTTTAAAATGCGTTTTCATTTTTTAACCATTTACATACATATATACCGATGATAATTTTTCTAAAGAAATTATTTACTTAATCTGTATTTTATATTTCATTTTTCTTCGTATCATCTCCTTGAATATCTTAAAATTCAATGTCAGAATTTTAAGATGTCATTATGTTGAAATAAAATTCATCTTAAATAAAAATGATCTCTTTTGAAAATTTTTCTCTTAATCTAATCACTAGGTTTCAGTATCACTAAAATTATTCGTTAACGTAAAATTGATTTTTGTCAAAGTGGAACCTCGCTGTTGTAGGTTGTTATTTTAATGTTGTTGTTACGGTTTATTTAGATTTAGGAATAATTTCCGAAGGTGAAGACTCTTCGCACTTCTCTGTTTTAAATCTTTTGTATCATCTTCTTTATCTTTTTCTTTAAATCTGGTGATTTTCAGTCGAGTTAAAATTATTATTTTGATCATCTCAACAGATCATCAACGGATCATCAACGATATCTGAAACTTAAACTTAGATCATTCTCTTTTTTAGAAAAACCATTGTTATGTTTGTCATACAGACATACAGAAAAAGACAAAGACATAAATTATATATAAAAATTAATTTTGTTTCGTTTTTAGAAAAACCATTGTATGTACTGACAGACAAAGGCAATGACATAAATTATATATAAAAATTAATTTTGTTTATTGCATCATAGTTTCTTTATCAGTCGAGTTATAATTATTATTTTACCATTTTAAGACAGAACTTAGCTCATTATTTCGTTTTTAGAAAAACCATTGTATGTTTGTCATACAAACATATGAATTATATATATTTGTCTATTTTTTTTAAACTCCAAAATTTTCAAAAACTAAAATAAAATAAAAAATGACATTAAAATTTTTTGATAAGTTATCTCAAAATTTTATTGAACTTCTTGATGGTAAAGATGATTACAATGTCATCATTGAAGTTGATAATAAGGAAAAATCATTCACAGCACATTCGAATATATTAAAATATCGATCGTCATACTTTCGTAGAAAACTAGAAAATATTTACCCAAATGAAAATAATATCAAAATAATTACTGAGTCATTTATTTCGACTCAAATTTTTGAAACTATTCTCAAGTAAGTTATTATCAATTATAAAAAAATACTATTAATAATATTTAAATTTATTATGATTTTATGTTAATTATTTATTAATTATTATTGATTTTATTTAGATATATTTATGGCGGGATTATAAATTTGGAGAATGTAGAAACTAGATTTATTTTTGATCTAATGTTAGCTGCTAATGAATTTGAATTTGAGGAATTGACTAACGAATTAGAAACTCATCTCATTAATACTAAAGCTTCTTGGTTAAAAACTCATTTTTCTTTTGTTTATCGTACTATTTTTTGTGAAAGCAACTTTAAAAAATTAGAAAATTATTGTGATGATATTGTTGTCAAGTATCCAAATCTTATTTTTGGTGCAGATGACTTTACTTCTCTACCAGAATCTTTACTGATATATTTTCTCAAAATAGATAATTTGCAAATGAAAGAAGTTGAAATTTGGAATTATGTCATCAAGTGGGGAATTTCTCAGAATCATACTCTTCCTATAAATCTTGGAGAATGGTCCAAGGAAAATATTATTACATTAAAAACTACATTAAAACAATGTCTACCGCATATTCGTTACTTTCATCTTTCAGCTAATGAAGTCAGAAATTCAATTAGGCCTTATAAAGAGATTCTTGATAAACAGCTTTGGAAAGATATCAAACATCATTTATCATTTCCTAAACGACAAGTCAAATCAATTATTTTACCAGCAAGATATTTTTCAACTGTCATTTCTGAAGATCATGCTACAGAAATTTCAACTTGGATTGATCATAATACAACTGCATATACTTTAGCAGATAATCCATATAAATTTGAATTAATCTTACGAGGATCTAAAGATGGATTTTCTCCACAAATATTTTGGAATATTTGTCACGGTCAAACTCATACAGTTGTTGTGGTGAAAGTTAAAGAAACTAATGAAATAATTGGAGGTTATAATCCTTTAGCATGGGATAAAAGTAATACTATTGGTAGTAAATATATGGAAACAAAAGATAGTTTCATTTTTTCATTAAAAAATGTTAATAATCAATATTCAATTCTTAGCAGAGTAAAAAATCCCATAAAAGCCATTCTTAATGTACGCAAAAATTATCAAAACGAGTGTGGCCCATGTTTTGGATATGATTTTTCTATGCGAAGTTTTTGTTCTAATAATTTTACGTTAGATAATGATTGTTACTGTAGACGTGATTGTTATGAAAAGTCTATAAGAAACTCATCCTCAAAGCACTTTTCTATAGTCGACTATGAAGTATTTAAAATCTTAAAGAATTGAGAGTATTTATTCACATTTTATTTATATTTACATTTATTATTATAATATTATAAATGATATTTAATTAGATGTATTAGATATACTATAATATATAAGTAATTAAATAAATTAGTTTCTCGTAGTTCATTTATTAAGAAAATCCAAAAATGCGTCAAAATACTCATTTATATGTTTATAATATAAAACCAGTGATCTGACGTGCGTAGAAAATAAATCATTTATTAATAAAAAAAAATTATTGACAATTATTTCTTAAAGTTAACCGACAATTATTCGTTTTATTCTCATAATATAGACCTAAAACCTTTACTATAGATGCACAAAAATATTGTCTATAAGGTTACTTAGTATTATTTTACGATTTTATTGGCATAAAATAATGTTTTAGATTTAATATCCATTGATAATTTTCTCTAAATCGATCGATTTTTAGTTGTGTCTAAGTAACATTCTAATTTTCACTAAAAAAACAGCAATATGATACTAATAAAAATTATAGCTCTTGTTTAGTGATATAAGTTCTTATAAGATAATTCGCACTTCTGTAAGATAGTTATTGAAATCGAGAGGCATAACGATCAACAATTCGATTAATATTTTTGGTTAACTTTATTTAAGACAATTCTTTTGAACGAGCGAGCATCCAATTTTAATAAATAGAATATCAAATGATATCCTTGATCAGGGGATTCTTTTAAAAAAAAGTTTATACAACTTGAATTATTCATTGTGCTACAATTCACCCTTGAAATTTATTAATAAATTTGATAAAAAATCAGCTGTCCGACGGGTTGGTGTATATATGTCAGATAAATTAAAATCTTACAAACTTTAAAAAATATCTAACATTTTTTTTCTTCAATAATTATTCATAATATTAATATAATAAGAAATCAGGAATAAAAAATAAGAATGGACTTTCGGTCAAGACTATTATTTTTTGTAATAGTCGTAATTCATTATCACATTTTTTTTTATTTATTCATTTATTCTTTTAATAAAACCCCCAAAAAATTCCCATCCCATCTTATGAAATAAAAAAAAATAAAATGTCTTTGTAAAAAAAATTAAATCTGCAAAAATAAAAAAGTAATAAATAATACTAATTATTATATAATAATGGATATAAAAATCCTAACAAAAAATAATAATAATAAAAATAATAAAATTTTTTTACCCACATTAAGAAATTTCGTCTATGAATAATTTATAAGGGTAAATCTATTTGTCACCAGTGGTGATTGTCACCACTGGGCAAAATTACATAATTCCCTGATCCTAACCCTAACCTTAACTTTGTTAATTTTGCCCAACGGTGACTATCACCAGCGGTGACAAGTATATTTTTTTAATTTATAAAACTACAATAAATTAAATAATTTGCAAATACTGTGCAGATAAGAAAATCGTAACCAAAATAAAACCATAGCTACGAAAAGTGTCAACGGATAAACATTTTATTTTATTTTTTATTTTTATTTTTTTTTTATTTTTTTATTATTTTTATTATTTTAATCTTTATTTTTTAATTTTTAAAATGTATTATGATAAATATGTTAAAATGTTTCAATTAAATTTTATGACCAGAAACACGATGGTTTTAGAATATGCAGTAGATGAAATCTTCAGAATATATAAAATTAATTTTAATAATATTAATTGAATTCAAAAATTACATAATCTAATGGAATTATCTTTTGGACCGAATGTATTCATGAATTAGATATAATTTACTGGGGCTTTTATCCTGGAAATATTTTATCATCCAATTTTAAAAATATTATACAAATTTCAGATTTTGGATTAAGTAAACTAATAGAGGCAAATTCAAATAGTCCCCCAAAAAAAAGAATATATTTGATGTATTACCATATATTGCTCCAGATGTATTAAGTGGTGTTATTGAATATAAAAAAGATGCCGATCATATTCATTTGGAATTATTGCTTACGAAATAGTTACATATCCTGATAAAGATTTTACTATGAAATATGCAATGGATTACGACCAAAAATTACATTTTACGCATCAAAATTTATTACAAGTATAATTTCAAGATGTTAGGATGCTCAAGCTACACGTAGAATCACTTTTGATGAGTTATATAGTGATTTGAATAAATACTATTATAATTATAGGGATTATTTAAAACGAGGGGAAAAAATTCAGGAATTGTAATTCAAATTAAATAAGCTGAAGACTTTTTAGCAAATCAAGAATTAACCAATACAGCAACAACATCAACAATAACTCCTCTTAACTATCAAACACAATTTATATCAATCGACTTCTTAATTATCCAAATCTTCCAAACCCAAGAATTAAGAAAATTTCGAAAGGAAACTTGAAGAAATAATTAATCTATGTCCTGGTAAATATTGTTATAATTTTAATTATTTATTTATTTTATATATTACATTATTATTATAATTAATTATATAATTCATTTCTATGTTATTCAGGAGATTCTGGAATAATTGATTTGGATGTGTCTAATTTTTAAATTTATTATTAGAATACTGTTGAACTTTATTGTAATATATTATTATTTATTAATATATTATATTATTATTTTATTGTATATTTTATCACATTTTAATGTCATATGTTTATTATTCTAATATTTAAATAATATATGCATTTTCACAAAATAGAATAAATATTAATATTATTAATGATTTATTATTGCCATTTAGTAATTACTTTGAATCTCGACATCAATTTACATTATTTATCCTTTAGGAGCACTTCAATAATATCTATGGATGAAGCAACATTTAGAATTGCCGGTGTAGTATTTTGTCTCTTAAATGATAATTAATATTATAATTAATAGTTTATTTATTTATATGATCTTCATTATATTAGTATATCTCCGTGCGCCTTTATTTATTTAAAATTTAGATATTCGATGTGAAACCAATTTTCTGAATTTAGTTACACATAATTTCAACAGTTTTAATATTTTTGATAGACGAATTATCACTAATATAATTATACCATATCGAACCGAACAAAATTTAATTTGGTTATTATGAAAAAGGTTAATTCGCGGTTTGTGTAGGGGAAAAGGGGCAATATTTCCGATCGACATAATAAAAGTGAAATTCATTGATTTTTCGTGATATATGAAAATCTGAAACCTACCTATTAATCGATCCACTTTTTTTTACTTTTTAATAATTTTTTTTAACTAGTGTTTGATATTTATTTTTTATAATTTTTAAAACGTGGAAAAACGTGGAAAAATTATAGTAAATTGGACTAATCTCGGCATTTGTTCTTTTTAAAATTAGTAATTTTATTTCATAATTTGTGACAACGCGACAAATCTTTATATATTAATCAGGTTAATAATTAGAAATCCACAATAACTCACTCATTTCTCATTGTAAAAGTATAAAAAACTGTATTAATATTGGAAAAATCAATTCAAAAAATACATTATGGGCCATTTTCACAATACTGGTGGGTTTCGACTGAAAATAATGAAAATAATATAAACCTATTAATTCCTATACACAGGTCAGGTCGAACGATCGAAAATCGGCAAAATTCTTGGCGGAGATCGGCAGAAAATCGGCAGAAAATCGCCAATTTTTAATTAATAAAAATGAAAAATCGTACGTTTTTGGCTTTTTTATTAGTAAAACATAAAAATGGTACTAATCAACCTTGTAGCTAAGAAGAAATTGCACCTACTATAAATATTTAATATCTAAAACTTACAAATTAATGGAATAATCAGCGTTTAAATTTAGAACGGCCGTTCAAAATTTAAACGGCTATTATTCTCAATTTATAATATTTGGTCTAAGATTTTTATATTTGATGCACTTTTTTCGTAGCTATAAGGTTATATAGTAACGTTATTGATGCTTTACTAATAAAAAAACCAAAAACGTACGATTTTTCATTTTTATTATTAAAAAATCGTTTATTGGCGATTTTCTACCGATCTCGACCTGTGTATAGGAATTAATAGGTTTGTATTATTTTAATTATTTTCAGTCGAATCCCACCAGTATTGTGAAAATAGCCCATAATGTATTTTTTGAATTGATTTTTCCGATATTAATACAGTTTTTTATACTTTGACAATGAGAAATGAGTGAGTTATTGTGGATTTCTAATTATCCTGATTAATATATAAAGATTTGTCGCGTTGTCAAACAAATTATGAAATAAAAATTACTAATTTTAAAACGAATAAATGCCGAGATTAGTTCAATTTACTATAATTTTTCCACGTTTTTCTACGTTTTAAAAATTATAAAAAAAATATATCAAACACTAGTTAAAAAAAAATTATTAAAAAGTAAAAAAAAAAGTGGATCGATTAATATGTAGATTGCAGATTTTTATATATCTCGAAAAATCAATGAATTTCACTTTTATTATGTCGATCGGAAATATCTTTTTTCCCCACAATAAATTTAAATTAAAGATTCAAATGAGAACGAAAAAGAATCCCAAATAAAATTAGCAAATAGTAAAGAATATAATTTTTATTTAATAATTTATTTGAAAGTTTTTGAAAAAAAAATAAATGAATACGATTTGATGCAGAATCGGTTTCAAAGTGGTTACAATAATACAAAAGTAATTATCATTATTGTTTGAAAATTATCATAATTGTGAAAAAAGATTTATTATATACTTCTTTTTTTTTATATTTTTTATCGTTTATTATTTTTTATTTTCTTATTTTTTCATTTTTATTTTATTTTATTTTTTTTAGTTTTTTTTATTTATTATTACTATAGTTGTTACATGCATATATAACAGACTATTATTTAAAGTTATCATTATTATAATTTCTTTATATTTGTTTTATGCTATTTATTTTACTTTATTTTTTTAATCGTATATTTAATATTACCGAATGAATCGTTTATCCTTTGTTTATCCCAGTTTAAAATCCATCCACGCCTATCTTTATTTTTCTCATTTATGGACGGAATGGTTTTTTATAATTCATTATTTATATCAGATAATAAATTTAATTATATTTGGTCTTATTTTCTTTTTCAATATACGAATTTGTAAGTCTTTAATAAAAAATAAATTTAGTAATTTTCATCCGTAATCATAAAAAAGGGATATTTATTAACATGCGCAAGAAATCTTATATAAAGGCCTTTGAAGGAGTAAGCAGAACAAAACGAACAGAAAAAAACAAGTAAGTTTGTGAGAAATATGAGTGAATCATTAAATACTACTTTTCTACTTTTTACCGAAAATGCAATAATTTTTATTATTCCTGTCAACAGCACTTCACTGCAGTAAATCACCATCACCATGCAATCTTCTATCATCGTTCGTATCATATTCTTTTTCATATTTGTTCTTGGAATTCAAGGTAAAACTCTAACATGTATAGAAAAATATTTTTATTTTCTGCTGTTTTTCTGCTCTAATTGTTTTATCTATAAACAATGTTTAGCATACAATACTACACTTGAGGGTTATTTCGACTCAATCTGTCATGTATATGTAACAGATTGTAATAGAACAGTCATAAATGATGCTGGAAATAAAAGTTGTGATGATGAGACAGTATTTATTTGGGATCAAGCCCCAGAATTATATTGCGTACATGTGTATCCTATTACAGAGCCCGATGACAATCGTTATCGTCAAGCAAATGGAAATTCATGCTTTTATGTCCATGGAAACCTCTTAGATGGTTGGTCGATTGATGATTGTTAGTAAACTTACGAATCCCCACTCGCCTTGCGGCACCTACAACCCGAAGAAATTAAGAAAATCGGGATTATTTTGTCAACCAATTTTTTTATCATAATTTATATTTACAATATCAACTTTATTTATGTTTAAAAAATATATTTAATAACTTCTTTCGAAATAGTAGACTAGTCCGACAATTTTTTAAATTTATTACAAAAAATTTTTATATAAATTTTTTATTGAAAATTTATGTTATACAATAAAAATAAAAAAATTTTAGCTCTAAAGTTTCCAATTTAAAAATTATTTTTTTTTAAAAAAAAAAATTAATACATTTATAGAAACTTAATAAAAATTAACCAATAACCATAGGATTTTGTTATTGCTTTACTCTATTTTCCATGCTGTTGACTAATTTTTGATAATGTTACTTTCAATTTGTGACTAGCGCTCCTGATAAAACAGTACAAAGCTTTTTTGTTTTTCTTTTTTAGCTTGAATACGGCATTCAGCATTCAAGTTCATTCCATAGTGTTCAAATTTGTTTAAGTCAGGTGACTATTCCAGCCATTGGAGAAGATATACTTCCATTTGTTGTATGAAATTGCATGTTGCTACATTAGTATGATTTGGTACATTATCCTGTTGAAAAAGTTACTCACCATCTTGAAATTCTTCTAAAAATGATGGTACTGAATGATGTCAATATCTCTTATACTGTATATGCATACATGTCACGCCCATCAATTTTAAAGGACCCATGCACTTCCACCACAGTTGAAGCAGCGCAATTAATGTCAGATTTTTCTTTTGAAAGCTGCCATAAAAGAATTTTACCATCATTCCTAAATAATGTGAATCATTTTTTCCCAATTATTGATCATCCACAGTTACCTTTCACATGTCCAATTCAAATGGATTTTTCTATTTGCTTCACTATAATTAGGTTTTCTAAGAGCTGCTTCTATGATATCCCAGTTACAATATGTATCAAAAGTCACGGGGCAACAATAAATTAATAAAAAAATTACTAAAGTTAAAATGCTAATTATGACACAATGGGTGATCTAAAGTGCACAAATTTTTTTATTAGATTTCCTTTAAACTAGAGCTATCACTTGATATATTTTGCATCAAAATTGAATGCTTACATGTGGAGTAATTAAAACTGACAAAAAAATAGAAAATTTAATCTTTGGAAGTTATCCATATTGGACTCAATAGATGTTAAAGATAGATATCAACTATAGTGCATTACATCTTAACTCGATAAAAAGTACAGGTCAACTTTAAAATGTGTCTACTTCTGGAAAAATTTATATTAAAAAAACACCACATAAAATTGATAGCTTGGATCTAGATATTCAATCTTATGTGATAAAATTTTGATTGAATCTTTTTTTAAAAATTTTTAGTGTTTAAAAAGAAGATACTCTATTAATATCTTATAGTAAAAAAAATAAAATTGAAACATCTAATTTTTATTTTTTTAAATTTTTTTATTTTATTTTTTTAATAAAATAATATAATTAAATAAATAAACACTCCTACAGTCATTTCCTGTTCATTCATCCATCTGTAAGGTTCATTTATTCATTCGTTCATTTGTTTGTCCTTCTTTTCCTCTCTTTTTCCTGTTCATTAATCAATGTGGATCACCTGTATATAAATTTGACCTTTGTAATATTATTGCAAAGCAAGTAAATTATGATATAAAAACTTATTCATCTTATTTTCACCATGATAATGTTATCAACAATGACAATAATTGCAGGAGATTATGAGATAATAAGGATAATAATAATTATGATGATAATAATTATAATGATGCAATGACAAAAATTATGATGTGACCTCACCATTGCTACCTTTTTATAATGCAAGATATAAATATCAAGAAAAAGCTTAATATATAAAAAGACATACTATATTATTTTGTACAAGTATAATAAGATTTTTAAAATTTTTTTTTGCGCTTCGTGCAAAATTTACTATATAAAGATCTGTAACCAAAAATTGAAACATCTGTATCTTACAAGAAATTGTGCCAGAAATAATATCATAACTTTAATTAGAATGACTTTTCTTAGTATCTAGTGAAAATTTGGACTTCACTTAGGTGTATAAAAATGACCGAAATTATTAAAAAAATAAAAAATAATTTGAAAATATCAATCGTGTTTACATATAAAAGTTTTTTATTTGTTAAAATAATAATAAAAATCAGACTAATTAACATTAAAGCTGAGAATATATAGTATACTATGTAAACTATTCAGACATATTTAATTAAAATTGAGCGAATAATTAGCAATTAAATTCCAGAGAATAATTTTTGAACATCCAATATTTAGCCATTTACATTAAATTTAATTCGTAGATAAAAATTCTAAAAACTTTACAAAAGATGTTACACATTCTTAGATATATGATTAATTACTAAGATATTTATTATTTTATTGATAAATAAGGAACTTTAATATGTAGTATGTTTGATAATTATTTTCGGATTTTTTTAATATCAAAGATAAAATGATCGACAATAAATTTGTCCACCGCGCAAATTTCTAAGGCATTATTGTCGATCATTTTACCTTAACATTTTATAATTTAGTAATTTTTTTTATTAATTTTTAGTTGCTGTGACTTTTAATACACTGTACATGATTTATTCTATTTCCATATTATGTACATAAATTTTTTTTTATATTTAACTAATACTTAGTTGTCCCTATCTTTGCCTCCAATACTGTTTCATTTCTTCATGGCATTGAGCCCACAAATTCCTAAGAATTGATCATCAAATTTCGACCACTCCTCATTCAAAGATATCTTGGAAAAAATTCTTTTTCTAGATTTTTATCCTTTAACAATTTTCAGATGTTTTTTATGGCAACAAGGTCTGGAGAATTGCTGGTCAGCCTAACGCTTTAATTTTTTTGGTCCAAACTCATTTTATGGTCTTTTTTTGCGGTATGGATTGGACAAATATCTTGTCGAAACAAAAGTTTTGAATGTCATTTTTAACCATACAAATCATCATATTACATTCATTAAGTCATAAAAAAATAAATGGGTGAGAAAGAAACACAAAAATAAAAAGAAAACAATGGGAATTATTTGTGAAAATATTGCATATTGTTACATCGGAAAATCGGGCGTTACTTTACGACACGACCATACATCTTATAATTTTCATTTCAAAAACGCGATTAGAACAATTTCAATTCCAAGCTAATCTTGGTGTTGAATTAATAATAAATTAGTAAAAAATGTGTGTATATAAGATATTATAAAAAATGATCAAATTTTGAATATACATTAAAGAAAATCAACTCAACAAAAGTTTTTTGAAATATATTAAATATGAAATGAATTTGGGAAATTATGTAAAAGAGAAGGAGTCATTTAGGTAAATTATATTATAAAAAACAAGAATCAGTTTCAATATTAAAATATTAATTAATAATTTATTATCATTATCATTAATTATTTGTAAAGGAAATGATATATGATTATGCCATTACCTGAACATTTTTGATCGTGCGCAAAAATTTAGTGACAAAATTTTCTTATGACATCAGTATATAAAATTTTCAAGATCATCGGGGGAAAATATTGAGTAAAATATTTAGAATATTAATTTTAAATGCTAAAAATCAACTGTAAATTTTACAACGTTTTACGTTTTCGTAGCAACATGGGAATTTTGAAAAGAATGGTAATGTTATATCAGCGAGAGGTATCTTTCAATACCATGCGATTCTTTGACTATTGATTCTTGGATATTTATTTTAATAATAATCACTTGATAGATAATTAGTATTGAACGGTGAGGTTTATGGATGATTGCTACGTCAGATGAACTTTTATAAGGAATACTTAAATTAAAGTCGTGATTAGATTAAAACTCGCCGTACAATAATTTCATTAGATCCAATAAAAGAAGAGAAAGAAGTGATCAAGGCAAAACTTAATAATATAACGATTCGAAAATAATAATTATTCTCAATCAGAAAATGAAATAATTGCAATAATTTTGATGATAATAGTAATAAAAATCATAATAATGAAGATTATGATGATAAAGATCGTGCTTTTAAATGCTATAAAAGGTAAGAATACATATATTGTGCATTCATTTAAAATTAAGCACAATTAATCACATTAATTTTATTCTAAATGATTTAAATTTTTTATAATACTTGCCAATGTGGTGCAAAAAGATAAGCCACCCCGATTATGGTAATCATTATCTATGCAATAAAGATCGTATTTTCAAACGCTAGAAAAGAATACATTCATTTAAATTAAAAACAATTCAAAAATGATATAAGTTTTCGAAAAAAATTTGTTAACTAGACAAAGCCATGTCTGCCGATCAATGAGAATGTGGTGCAAAAAACAAGCCACCCCCCAAATAAGGTAATTATTATTTATGCAAAATGGTAAAATGATTGGTGGGTATTATTATAGGATTTACATTACATTTTAAGGCAAATTTGCCCGCATTACCATTTAAGGGATTTATCATTTAAATAATTAGAATTTTGACTAAATTTACTTATCATTTTCTTTCCAATTTTGGTATATTTAATTTCCAGACTAAATTTACTTACCATTCTTTTTCGGATTTATGTATATTTGTTTCAGGATTTAACTAAATTAACTTATCCAAGTTCTGTATGATTGTCACCGGAACCGTGTTTGACTTTTTTTATCATCATTGGACGAAGAAAGTAAAGACTGGATGACAAGTGAATCTAATAAATACTGGCCCAATTTTCATTACATCTCCATCAAAAATTATTTATTTATCTCGAATCTTGAAAAATAATAATAATTATTTTAAAATATATATACAATAATTAAAGTGGTATTATAGCTTTGAATCAAAATAAATAAAATGAAGTTCACCGCAAAGACCTTCATCTTTCTTGCTATATTCAGCCTTATTGTTATTTCTGCTGTTGCCCAGTAAGTTTTTTTCTAATTTAAACGTAATTTAATAATTTAAGTAACGATTTAATCAAGTTTTTTATAATCTCTGTAGAATACCAAGCAACACTTCTACCACTACTGGAAATCCATCCAATACTGATAACACAGGCACACCTACTGATCCATCTCTTACCGAAGGTTCAGCTTCTACGTAAGTTTATTTTTTATTTTTTATTTATTAGAAAAAAATATAAAATATTAGTAAATAATTTATTTGAATTATTTTAATTTATTATTTTTAGTGGTCTACCATCAACTTCAGGAGGCAGTCCATCAAACGCGCCCCCTTCCCCTTCCCCTTCCCCTTCCTCTTCCTCTTCCTCTTCCTCTTCCTCTGGTCCTCCAAAGCTTTTAATCACTTTTCTGATTGGGTTTGGAGCAGTAAATGGTGTTTTGATTTTGATAGGTATTCCTGCTTTTATTCTTTATAAAAGAAAAAAGAAAAGAGATGGTGCTCATGTTCTTGAAACAGCAGGAAACGAATAAATGTTAAAGATTTTGAAATTAGAATTAAAAATTCACATAAAGATAAAAAAATTTGAATTATAATTGATCATATTTATTTTTTTTAAAAGAATATGCACGAATTGCATATTTTAAATCATAATTTCTGTATTAATTGTTACCTAAAAATTTTGATAATCATAACGTAGGTAAACTAAACAAGTTTCATCATAAAATAAATTTTAATTAATCATTCTATAATCAAGTATTAAAAGATGTATTTCATATAAAATGTGTAAACATTTCACGAATTACATTGAAAATATCAGGCTCTTCTGATTTGGATCAAATATGCAACATTTAATTGCCATTTTTCTTTATCTCGAGATTGGTTGTGGTATGAAACTTGGTGTAATAATGAATCCTTGACTACTATTAACATGGTAGTGATTTAATTATTTAAATATTTATATTTATTTATTTATTAAATAAATTATTAATATTAAATTAATTATATATTTAATTAGTACAAAAATCCATTAACATAAAAATCTAAACTTGATGGAGTAAAACGAATAGGAATCATATGATAAAGAAGTTGCTAGAATTGCTCAACAAAAATATTACATTTCAGTGAATAATAAAATTCAAAACAAAGACTATGAGACTAATGATGAATATAATTGTAAAAGAATCCAATAAAATTACTTCATCTATTTTATCTACAAGTATAAATGATATTCATTCATTTTAATTTATTTTAAAAGTTTTTAAATTATATTATTTAGTTAATAGAATATTCTTATTTTATATACTCTATTACGAAATAATATTAATGTCATATTATTTATAAATCAAAACTACCAGTTATTGAAGGTACATAAATAAAAAATTTTAGTGTAAAATAATTTTATTTTATGTAATTTATATTGTTTATTTTAAATCAACCATTATTAATATTCCTTTAATGTCATTTCTTTTTTATTCTTGTATGAGTATCAATCCAGAAACTCCAATTTGATTTAAGGTTGAAGGTCATCCTCAGTTATAAACTCAAGTGATTTTTGATAACCTTCTGAAAGCAATCAATCACATTATAACAATGATTCTATTCTTTGTTTTCTAAAAAATTTGATACATTTGCGTATTTATTAAAATATATATTTCCAAGACTATAATTTTAATGCAACGTAAACACACGAGTTTTCATAAGTCAGCAAACCCCAAGAAGGAAGAAAAGAAAAGAATTTATTATTATTCTATAATTCGAGAAAATCATATAAATCCTATTATTTCAAGTACTAAAAGATATATTTATGTTTATTTTTTACATTATTTATTATAATGAAAATTGATTTCAAATCTGCGTAATCATAGATCAAGAAATTGATCCTTTTAGAGAATGTTTATTCCATCCACTTTGATAATCATATAATCTGTATGACTGGTTTTAATTTCTTCTAAATTCACGTCCTTTCTTCTTCACTCCATTGTCACACATATTTTTAAATTTACAAACAACATTCATATCTCTTTTCCAAAAAGATATGTAGTCTTGCATGGCGTTTCTTTTGGTATATGCAGATTATTTATGTTCAAACTGTGTATGACATTTAAGAACATATCTAAAAAAAAATAATTAAATAAATAAAAATAAGTCATCAAAAAATATTAAACACAATAATGGTTCAAAATTCATTAACAAATTTAGGGAAATATGTTTGTTGCAACTTATGTCTGAGTATATAAATTGGCATAACAAAGGAAAGCAATTTGTAGATGCATTTTGATCTGTGGTCCTTTTTGCATTTTTTTCGTGAACACCAGCATCGTTTATAAAATAATAATATAGAATTATTTCCAAACTTGTTATGTAACCCAATATTTTCTTTTTTCGATCAAGAAAATCTTGCCAAAAAGAGATACTGGGCTAGTGGATAATCTTCGAACACAATTTAAAAAATCAATGTCATATTATTTCCCGATTTAGAAAAAAAATTAGGTCTGTTTTGCATTATTATTTTGTGACACAGTATTTCTGTGAAACCAAATTGTTTTTTTTGCAATTCGAATTTCCATTTATTGACTAACAAATAAAACTACAAGATTTTCCGCAAAATTCGAAGATATTCCTTTTACTGTTTAAAGCTTAGCGATTTACAGTATCTAATAATGCATAAAAGAAGAAATAAACAGATGTGTGAAGGTCTAGATGCGAGAAAATTTCTATATATGTTCAAGGTTTTTTTAATGTATTCGTAATGGTTATAAAACTATGGAACTATGGAAATGCGATGACTAAAATTTTTAATTTTTTAAAACCAAACCAAAGAAATGCTCAACGCTAAGCAACTAAAGTTGTTAGTCGAAAGTTTTATTTTGACAAACATTTAGGCATACTACGGCCGAAACATAATCTTGACGATGACTCTAATAATGTAGTAATGTAGAAAATGTCTAAATGTTGTCGAAATGTCCAAATATAATTCAGATTGCAACGATTGGCAAATTTAAATCCATTATTGGATGGTAATAATTAACAGTTTTAATAGCAGTGACAGTGTTATTTAATGATTATCGTTCCCAATTAATTTTCTTTTCTCTTTACTAAATAACTTTAAGGAGACGCACAAAGATTTCATCAATCTATACAATTTTTTTTTTTGCAATTTAATAATTTTGCTTACAGTATAATAAACGAAAAATCCCAAGATGACTCAGAACCAGGAGGCATATTTATTTTATTTTATTTTATTTTACTTATTAAGACTTTTAACATTTATTTAGACTTTGACATGACTAAATGTCTAAAGTCGAAATATTTTGACAAGGGTGAAAACAATTTTGATTAACAACTTTACATGCAACACTTTTTTCTTTCTTCAGAAAAAGTAAAATTTTTAATATACAATTATATTACTTAAATAATATACTTAATATTCCAGAATTACAAATTCTAGCAAGATTATTGAGTTCTATTCAAGCAAATTTGCTCCACCCGATAATCTTAGTTCTTATAAGGGCAGGCACTCAATTAGATAACATATTGAGATATAATACTGTTATGGCAATTTCTTCTATTTCTCTTTTCTTGAATTTCCAATTAATTTACAAATTTTCAATTAATTCTCTATCATCATTAATTTTCATTATTATTTTTTCATAATTTTCATAATTGAATAGGTTTTTTAGCATCTAATGCTATTTCAGGGAAACAATTTTCTCAAACTTTATTAAATAGTTCTGATTTAGTTCAATTACCTTCAGTAGCAGTAGCAGGTCAAGTCATAGTGATAAATAAAACAATAACACTGTATTTTTTAATACTGGAATAATTGGTAAATGCAGGAGCAAAAGTAAATATATCGGATATTGTATGTACTAAAGGAATTTTATATATAATTGATAATGATAAATATATATTTTTTAGATTTTTACTTATTCATCTAATATATATTTAATATTTTATTAATGTTTATTTATTCATTTAATATTATTCTTTTTATTCTAAAGTTATTTTACCACCCTGGGATTTTAATTTTATCGTGAATAATTATAACTTAACTTCTTCATATAACGCATTCAATACTGTAGACCATATAAACCACTGTTGAAGTTTCAGTTTTGGTTGCATTTGAATCCGATCCTAGTTATTTTATTATAATTCTTCTTATCAATCATCTATTTGTTCTTTACACATAATTATCGAAATAATTTATTCGACTGACTTTAAGACATTAACTACTTACTAAACTTTTAATGGATGAAAAGTAGAAGTTCCCGTTTCATCAAAAAGTGGTGAAATATCTATTTGTGGTTCAATAATAATATCTTATGATATTTTAATTAACAATAGTGTTATTCATTTAATACATCAAATAATAAAACAGATACAACAACTACTGAAACAACCACAGGTTCTACTATTTCAACAGCTGGAACATCTGTTGATTCTTATAATGAATTTTTTCAGATAAAATATCAGAAATTGGAATAGGATTAGGAGTTGGTTGTAGAGTGTGCTTTTTTGATATTATTAGTTAAATAGTATCAAGCAAAACATATGAAAATTGGAACGAGGAGACAACGGAGGCTTCAGGTTGTAATCGATAAAAAAATTTTATTACCACTTGTTATAATTATTATTGCAAACACACTTTCTATTTTCTGTTTTCCATTTTTTCAGATCATTTTTTTTTTCGCGTGAAAAGAAGTTTCAGTTTGGATTTTTAGTATATCAGATATACATATATTACTTGTATTTTATCTTGGTTATTATTTTATTTGCTTATATTCTATCTTAGTTATTATTTAATTTTTAATATGTTTTTTTAAAAAAATCATATTATATTCATTTATCGTATTCATTTGTTAATATTGTCTGGTGCAAAAAGATTTGCTCCTCAAAAATAATAAATAAAAAAATTTCTTATATAATAAAAAAAAATTTTTAAATCCAATTAGACTTTATATATGTCCGGAAATATTATATCAATTTTATTATCATTAATTATCACTATCAAAATCACTAATATCATTAATTTCATCATCTAACAAATTTACGGTTTCATCAGATTCTTTATAATCTTTTGCTCTTTTGAGCGCCTTTCGCCACCAACCAACTATTATTTTTGAATTTATTTTTTTTAAATACACATAAAAGTATATTTCTTACTGCCAAGAGATCTGAATGTGGACCTGATTTTGCTACTTCCCCCTTTACAACCGCCCAAATACCTTCAATTGGCTGAAATTCACAATGATAAGGAGGGGTAAAAAACTTGATAATTATATTTTTTTGCTATTTCAACACAAGTAAATGGAACCTTTTCTTTGTTTTTTTGCACTAGTTCTAAAAGTTCAGGCCTATGTAGTTCGATAGAAAAAATGATATTATGAGAAGTTAGCCAATCAATTATTTTTTTTTTTGAATTTGATGTTGGAATATTTTCAATTTGCCGTTTGTGACATCTTGCTCCATCCATATGAATATTTGTGGCATCATATGTTTCACTAATTGTTTTACAAAGCCTTGAAAAAAGGTCTTGAAAAAAGGTCTTCAAAAATTTCTCCATTAAAGTTTCCATGGTAATCTATTTGATCAGGAATAATATTTGAATTTTTAACAGTCTCGGTGATATTTTTCCATGCTTCTTCATTTTGTCATTTTCGTCCTTGGGTTCTTGGGGGCTTAATTGATGGATCCCAAACATAAACTGAATTTAGAACAAGCTCACCATATAATTTATTAGTGGAGCCATTTTGAAGAATAATGATTGCACCAAAGATTATTAATAATGGTCCATGTCCCAGTGTTAAAACAATACCTTGATGAGGAACCCATGTATTATGGGATGTATGATGTAAATGACAGTATGATTTATCAAGAAAAACTTCTGGACAATGTGGAACATCATTTTTGCCCTCTAAATTTACAAAACGGTGGTGGATATAATAACAACGAAATGCTACATTATTTGGTGACTCATGGAGAATGTTTCTTCATTCACCTTGACCAAAATAATAACCTAAGCAGTGTAGTATTCTAAGGAGTTGCCATTTGGAAAGTATATACCCACATTCAGAAAGGAACTGCCGTAATATAGAAGTAGAAAGTTGTTTCCTTTATTGTTAGCATTTACGTAAAAGTACAGTAATATCTTCATTTGTCTTGCAATTTAGGATTTCCGAAATTTTGTGTGCCGAAAATGTGCCATCATTATGTTGGTTCCAGTCTGACAATACACTTTCAATTGTGCTTTCAGAAATGCCAAGAACCAGAGGAACACGCTTGCATAATGTAAGTTTTTGGTTTTTGCTATCTATGGAAATTGTTCCAGAAAAGTATCTGTGAACATTTATTATCATTGACTTTTGTTCTCCGTTAGTGGAGCACCGTTTCGTTTTATAAAGGAAGGGGGCATCAAAAAATGGTAAAATTTGAAATATCATGATTGGCTCTACTATATATATAATAATGGAACAAATTAATTTTGTTTCATATGATTTCTCTATTACACAGATCACATTCATGTGTAACGAGGAGCAAATCTTTTCGCACCAGACAATATTAATATTAAAATGTAAATGAATAAAGATATAAGTATTTGATTGGCTTTTCTTTGTCACAGTTAAAATTTTACTCATAATTACATGAGAACAAATTTTTATGTAATAAAGAGAAAATATAACTTTTTATTATTTAAAATACTGTATATAGTTATATGCATTATCTAAATATCTGGACTATAAAATAAATTAAAAATAAAAAAAAATTATTCATTCATAATAACTTGAAAAGCCTCATATTAATCATTCTTAAAAAATCTATTTGTCTTTATTGTCCACAACAACATTTCGAAAAATATTTTTCATAAACTTTTAAACTCACATAGTGTCCCAAATAATGAATCGCTTTTTCAATCACGCTTGCTTTATTCTTAACTTGACTAATAATCATACGTTCAATATTAAACGTATTTAATGAATAGATGAAACTTTTATCAGTTGATAGATATGAAGGACTCTTATGTTTAGGGTCTCCCAATATAAGGGATCATATTATGTGTGCGGGCTACTCGTACAAACTAATCTTTGGACCTCATTTTTCACATAATTAATGAAAAATCTGAGTGGAAAATCCATTAATTGTTCCTCTCACCAATAAGTTAAAATCATAATTGATAGTCGGATCTCTTTTATGTACTCGATTAATTCATTTTTAAAATGGTTAATAAGCGTTAAACAATTTGAATAAGATTAAATGCAGAAAATTTTTTTTAAAAAAATAAATTAAAATATTTGCATAATCGCGATAATCTCATCTAGATTATAAAGATTTTGTTTATAATCCTAGCAAAAATTTCTACTTGATCTACTAGTTGTAGTTGCCAAGTAGGAATGTAGAGAAACTTATATGAATTTAATATATTTGTAAATCTAAAAATTTTACTCCTCTTCACGCTTTTACATATTTCTTCAAGTGGGTTGGTTAAGACAATCCGTTTTTGATATTTCAATTGTAAATATACATTATTTTATTACGTTATTTTAGAGAATATTGATTTTTTTATTAAACTTTAAATAAATTAATAATATTTATTAGAATTAACTGTATAAATTTATTTATTATAATTAAAAGAAATATCCTTTGTAAACATGAACCAAAAAATAAATTTATTCTTATTATATTTTTCATGACAAATATAATAAAAAATGAAAAATACTTTAAATAAAATCATTAATTAATCATATAAATTTAATTTAATTACATGACATTTTTGCATCACTTATATCGCTGGGGTATAATCATCTTATTCGTTATAATTATTATTTTTTCATTTTATTGTTCACGCCCATTATGCTTAGTATATATTTTTAGATTAAGTGATAAGTCATTTATGCCAGATCACGCTATACCAGTTGACTATTCATATTCAAAAATTTCAATATTATCAAATGGATCGACCCACATGATTAAGAGGGAAAGTAAATGATTATCAAGTTCGAAAAGGGAAGCTTTATATGGGAAATTGAAATCTCCCATGGAGGAAAGGATTCAACTTTGGGATGATAATTTGGATGAAGAATATTTGAAAAAAGTATGTTCTATTGTTTATTTATTGATTAGTTGATTTATTGAATTATTTATTTTTGATTCATTATTTAGCTATTATATTTTTTTATATTTTAGTTAAATCTTTAGTTTGAACATTTAAAAGGAACCACGCGAGCTATTATTTAGACGCCATTGAAGAGGTATTATTATTATTATTGATTATTTTTATTTATTTATTATTTATCGTTATTTATTTTTATTATTTGTCGCTTTATTCCTAATATGAGCGTGATGAATTCTTTAGAGCTTACAAAAAGTAAGCAAAATAACATCTAATAACATTTAATAATAATAATAAAAGTAACTTTTTATTATTATCATAATATTACATTTTAATAAGATTTATTTAATATTAGATAATATACTTTTATTTATTATTGGGGGAGATACAGATGAAATGAGTTCACCTAGGATTACATTACACGAATTAATCAAGGGATTCATACCACAATCATTAGTATTCAAAGTTACATCAATGTTGAAATCTAGAGA